TATCTCTCCGCCCTTCAGTTAATCCCACTTGTGTTTATCAGCCAGGCTGGCACAATAAACTATCTTACCTGCTCTGGTTTTAAAATAAGTAAATTTTCTCATCCCAGAGGAGGAATCTCTGATAACACACAGGTTGCGTTTTGCTTCATTTTGTTTTTTAATTTTCCAACTTGCTATTTGTAGTCCTCTAGACTTTTTTGCCCAACCCATTCAATGGGATGCACACATTGTTAACATTTGCGAGAATGGAGACGCTGGCGGATTGCTTGGTTTAGCTTTTCTAACTTCGTTCCTGCAAGCGTTTTCCGGTGGAACAGAAACCCACGTTGAGGTGAAACAGTCCATTTATGATCAGGTTGGTTTCCTGATTTGGATGCGTGTTGTTACATTTCAGACATCTCCCAAGTGATGGGTGTTGAAAGTGATGTGTTGGGAACTTTAATCTGATGAGCCCTCTCTGCTTTTCTGTTCTTTTCTCTTCTTTTGCAAACAGCTGGAGGAGCGTTTCTTCCTCGCAGGGGTTCTGTAATTAACAGCCACAGCAAGTCACCTGCCAGGTGCAACCTGTGCTGATTGTACCCCTGGTTCATCCTACTGGATCCTCCATTCAAGGGAAAAAGGACATATCCCCCTCCAGTGTTGGGACATAGCTATTTAGTTCAGTAGGGATTTGTGACTAAGGTAAAAATCAAAACAACAATCCCAAGAAGTCTTAAAGTGTATGAATTGTTGAATGGAAACCAGTTTGCTCCGTAAGCCTTCATTCAAACCACAATCAAAAGTGGAAAAAAGAGAGGAAAAGGAATCTTCTGAGTCGCTGCCCTGTCCTCCCGGGACAGGTCTCTGCATTTGGGGCAGTGCAGGCGTGTGTTCTCCCTGGCATATTTGAGGGAGGCACTTGTGCTCCTGTGTCGCTGTCAACAACATGTACGTAACGGACCGTTTTTTAGAAAGAAGGAATGATTGCCCAGCCCTTAACTAAAATCGGCAATAACTTTTTTGCTCTTTGATTTTTTTCCCCCCTGGTTACTGGAAAAACTGCATCCAGTGTGAGAGTGTTTCCATATTCTAACCTTTGAGCTGGCTGCTCAGGTCTCCTTGGGGACAAGGACACTTTGCAGTTATCTATAACCTGTAAGGGGCAGCAAGGCAGGCTATCAACAGCCAGTGCACATCGAGGCCTGGCAGTCCGTGGGAGCCTTCTCCTGTGGGTCAGTCAGCCCTCTGCCTTCAGGGGTCTGAGACACTCTCGGATGATTCGTGTTCCTCTTCAGCTTGACTTTGTCAGGGTGAGCCTTATTTATTTATTTATTATACTTTTACTGGGGGCTCTTACAGCTCTTATCACAATCCATACATATATCCAGTGTGTCAAGCACATCTGTACATGTGCTGCCATCATCATTTCCCAAACATTTTCTTTCTACTTGAGCTCCTCTTTTTTTCCCCTCCCTCTCTCATGAGCTCTTGAAAATTTATAAATTGCTATTATTTTTTCATGTCTTACACTGACCAGTCCCTCCCTTCACCCACTTTTCTGTTGTCCGTCCCCCAGGGAAGGGGGTTATATGTAGATCGTTGTGATCGGTTCCCCCTTTCTCCCCCCATCTTCTCCTTACCCTCCTGGTATTGCTACTATCATTATTGGTCCTGAGGGATTTATCTGTCTTGGATTCCCTGTGCTGCAAGCTCTTATCTGTACCAATGTACATGTTTTGTTCTAGTCAGATTTGTAAGGTAGAATTGGTGTCATGATAGTGGGGGGTAGAGGAAGCATTAAAGAACTAGAGGCAAGTTGTGTGTTTTGTTGGTGCTGTGCTGCACCCTGACTGCCTCATCTCTTCCTTGTGGCCAATTGATACTGATGGCTTTGAGTCTCTACTCTGCCCTCCCCTTCATTCACATGGATGTGCTTTTTGTTTTGGGTCTTTGATCAGGACGAGCCTTATCAGCCAGGTTATTTCTCTAAAAAGCTAACTTACAACCTGTAGATTGATGAAAACAATGAGAAAAATGCAAAAACATATGTAACTCCTCATAATCCTTTAAGAATCCACGCCTGCCTATGAGAGATCTGTAAACTGGAAACATGGTAAAGGCACTGACATGTGCAGGTGATACTAAGGGGACATATTTCTAAAATTTCCTTTACTGTAAGATCAGTTCCACCCTAATTGCATAAATATTTGGCCACATCGGAAAGAGTCCTGGTGACAGTCAACTGAAAGGCCAGCCTGTGTGCGGTTCAAACCAAGCGGCTGCTCAGTGGCAGGAAAGATAGGCAGTCAGCTCCCATAAAGATCTGCAGCCTTGGGAACCCTCTGGGACAGTGCTTCTCTGTCCTCTGGGTCACTGTGAGTCACACTTGACTTGCCAGCAGTGGATCTCAGGGTTTGTTAGAAATAAGTTCTACTTCAGATGGCATCTTGGCCTGGTATAGAGAAAACTTGGTTATGTGTCTAGGCATGTTTATAAGCCATGTCTGCATACACATGCATTTACAGATGTATGTATTCAATTATCTTTTCTTCACATGCCAGCTTTGAGAGAATCATGCCCAGTGCTTCATATAAAAAATTAAGTCAAATCTAAGCAAATGCTAAGGCATTGCCTCAGTTTTGTCAGTATGTGGAACTCTTATTGTATAGAATTTAACTCAAAATAGCTTAGAGGGCTAACCTGAGTAATTTGAGTCCTTAGCAGCTGCTATAATGGTATTTTCTCAGACCCAGGTTGGCATATATGAGGGGGCTTCAAAAAGTTCATGATACAATGGATGTAAAAGATTTTTCATATGAACTTTTTGAAGTCCCTTTGTACTTATTCTGAGAAATGTGCTTATATTACTCTTTCTTATCTTCTGGGTTCACGAACTCTGCTCTTTCCTTTTCTTCTGAATTCTCTTGTTTGTTTGTTTTTAAATCAAAAAGGTTGTAAATAAAAATAAGAAATGCATATGCCTTTTAATTCAGTATACCTACTCTTCTTTTTTTC